CACTGAGCTCCATCGTCACTGGGGTCTGACAGGGTGGCGCTGCATACTCTTCTCATCTAATGTGTCTATTTTCAACCTGTTTAGTCAGAGTGCTCAAACATGAGGCAGACTACGTCCACAACAAGTCAACACAACCGTAAATGTGGCCAATTATCAATCTATTACCAATCAATAACAACAGATAGCTTTTATTTTATGAATGTTTTCAATCAACCACTCACCCAGAGGATCTTCAATCCCAGGAACTTCCTTCTTCTCATTTAATGAGTCTGTCCTCTTTCCATGACCTGGTAGCTGGTCTATCCAGAGCCACCTGATCTCAAACTATACTTACAACAAGCCAAACCACCCGTTGGTCACACCAACCCTTCCGCCCTAATAGATGTTCAACGGCTAAAGATGTTCAATGCCATCGTAGACTGGAGTGCCGAAAGAGACTTTAACGCCAACTGTTCCAACAATCCATTTTATATTGCTTCCTGGTCAGAGGTGCAAAACTCCACACCAGGGTTCAAATCGTTTTACTATTTTCATTAGTTCTTATTTTTTATTTTAGTTTCGACTCCAGATTTACAATAGTCATCAGTCCTGATGTTTGTACCAGGTGTAATCAATGTTTACCAAGTCTTTGCTAGTTTAGTCTAATTTATATTGTCCGAAAATCCTCAGTTTCAGGTTAATGTTGATTAGTGCCAGTTATAATTTTAGTTGTATTTTGCCACAACTAAGTGTCACAAAATTCCAGTTTCAACACATCAGCCATGCTCCCCTGCTTATCCCTGGGTCTTAAGACTATTAGCTCCTGCTGCACTGCGTGTTCATAATTTTGGTCAATCGACAAACCTTTTGAAGGTGCTCGCACAATTATTTAGATGTTCCAATCCTGTTGTCTCGGGCCGCACCACGCTGCCTTATCTGGTGTTAGCTGTTTTCCGGTGATGTGGGTTGAATGGGGGAGCTCTTCAAGGAGGGGGAGTATGCTCCCCCTGATGAGCTCTTCAAGGTCAGCTAAGCTAACCTTCGTGTGTGAGCTTTTCAAGTGCATTTCAAGATTTGTGGGATTTTTGCTTTATAAATGTCCCTCATACCCCCTGACGGCCCTCTAATTTATTTTAACACACCATAGTGTACATTTAGTGTTCGCTTGTAGCTCTCATACTCTACTTACCACTCTTCTAAGTCCTGATGTTTCTTAAAGAGGACAACCGTACCTTTAAATAATATCACCAGAGAGATAGACCTGATATTTTCATTTGAAACATTTTGCTAAACTCAGAGTTTTATTTTATTATTTTTATTTTAAACTTATTTAATTTCACGGAGAACATGCCTAACCTATTAATTTATACTGTAGTGCACGTCGGGACTTTATACTTATATTCATTTCACTTTTTCCTAGTAGACAACTCTTTAACAAGGGCATAGAGAATTCTTGACCGAATAGCGAGATTCAAACATAATTTTTTCAAAAGGTAAGAGTCATGTGAGCCAGATAGGGGAGAGTGACACCCCAGGAGGAACAACACAAAGATTATCGAGATGCAGTGGCAGGTGTAATGGAGGAAAACACAGGGCCACAATCTGTCGTCCTATCTGGTTCAAAACTGATATGCAGGAGAATGTGGAATTTTGATTTTTGTTAAAAACAAATATGGATAAAATGCAAAAATATTTTCCAATAAAGTAAAACTGAGAGTCGCACTTATAACTGACTCCATGTCACCTGATTGTTTCTACAAGATCACATTTTTGCTAAGAGTTATTAGTGATCTCAATGTGCGAAAAGACTTCACCATATTTGGAGTTCAAACTCCTCTTGACTGAGAGACCTGGAACAAACATGTGAACAAAACCTGACTAGTACTAGTAATGAAGAGCTCTCTCCAAAGGTCAAGAATAAAAGCCCCAATCAGATGGGATTATAACAGAATATGGTTCGCTCCGTTTGCCTGAAATAATTAGGAGTCACAGGCATTTCAGTTGTGGAATGGTTGGGTGCAACAGTAAACCTATGTGAGATGTGGGAAGTGCCAAATGTTCCTTTGTGTCTCCAAATTAAATCACAATACTTCCTCAGATATCATAAATGAGTTGACTTTTGTGTAATAGAAAGCCCAGTGCAATCACTTATTCCTAAACCAATGGTTTACAGCTAGTCAAGTGTCAGTGACTTCTAAGTTGGTCCCTGATCTACATTTTTGATATTGTTATATAAATAAGTTTTAATATCCTGCTTATAAAAATTTCAGTGGAACCTGTAAGTTTCTTACATAGCTCCTAAATCTTATTAGTTTCACAGTAGTGATCAATGAACTCCCCTTGTGCACTATGTAAAGTTTAAATGACTTGACTATCGTAGGGCATACACACAACAATGGTGCTACACACATTTTGCTATAAATCCAATTGATTTTAATTAGTTTTGTAAACACTCATTACAATTTTAGTCAATTTTCCTTTTTTCTTATTTTGATTTTATTTCCGTTAGCACAAATGTTTTTCCACTTCTAGTTTTTGCTATTTCATTTGTATTCTTTAGTAATAATAATCCTGCTCTGCTCACTAGAATAAACATAATCAACGTGATCGACAGCTTACTGCGTATCGATTCACCATCTTATCAATTCATTTGCTTCATCCTTTTGTGGTTTATAACCTTATATTTTATTTCAACCTACTTTGTCTCCAAATATTTGAAGAATTTTTCAAGTTCGGGGTCAAATTTTAAGAATTTGACCATAAGTGAAAGTTATGGTGTTATCACCCCCTTTGGGGCTTACCTTTCCCAGTTTTGGTGATTTTCCTCCCCATTCTCTATTCTCTACAAGTACTCCTTTTCGGTGGCGAAAAACTGTTGGTGTGGTCAAGCGGGTGCTGTAAAAACAAAAGCTCAGGACAGAACAGTCACCAGTCATGTACTTCACTCAAAATTAGCATATATCAAACTTCATATTGATCCTCTGAGTGTAATGGTACATTTTAATTTAAACTTCTCAAAGCTAAACACAATATTTTACTTTATCTTACTCTCGTTCTTGTGCAGCACCACCCCTGTCGGTTCTATCTTACTTTTAAATTGCTGACTATTTCAAGATGTCACCCAAAAGGCGGGGACCAGTATTTATCATTACATTATCTCTATTTTGCGTGTGGCAAGTCTATCATTCCCTGTTATTTATAGGCCTCGGTAGAGGGTTTTTTCTTTTTTTTTTTTTTCCTCTATGAAAGTTACTTGACTCTTTACAGTGACCCACTATGATTAATACTAATAACATGTTCAGTCATAAGTGAATTCAAACCTTTTCTTCATTTTAGCATTTAACATTCCCAACCATTTTATAATGGTACCCTAATCGAAACACAGCTACTAAAACACAATTTTTTATGTAAGCATCAGTAACTCCAACTTGGCAACCCAAGGGTTAAATCCGCAGTTCACACTCCTGTGAAGCTACAGCCTCCCCCCTCAGTCTCTGTCAACCTTCTGCTCTTGCAAAAACAAAACAAAGCAAGACAAAACATCCACCCTTCTTTTACAGGCTGGGTGAATTGTTGTGGACATTTACTAATCCTAAAGTCGGTACCGTCTTTGTCTCAGTACCAAGTCAGTTAAAGCTTTTAGTCGTCAGTCCATAACAGTCCAGTCACATGCATACATCCACACACATTCATACCAGATATTGCTGATAATGGAGTCTCACGCGCAACCTATTTGAGGCTCCTTCACCAGCAAGATGACGTCATCATTTTAAAGGAAACAATTCCTTATTTATTGCTTTTTCTTGGACTGGATTGACTCGCTGCAATCCTTTTAGGATCAGGACTTTTCATTCGACCAGTGTCCCATACAAGTGAATTTCTCCTCAGCCCATTATAATCATGGAGAAAAATACTTCGCGACTGTTTTCAGTAAGAATATTTTATAGCGCTTTAAAGTTCAATCTCTCAGGCCTGGATTAAGGAGCCGATTTGTTAAATCAGGAGCTCACAAAATACCAAAATATCACCACTGGTGGATCACACCTCTCAGATGTTCTTATCTCAGTGCACTGTAACGAAAGCAAACACAGACGTAACCAATTAAACACTCATATAATAACAGATACTGGGGCCCATTACAAACATGCCCAAGCATAAAACCATCCTTTTCTCTCTCAGAGAAAGAAAACAATCCAAACCTCACTGATAGAATCAACCTAGTATCAAACAAAACCCAAAGATCAACCAAAACTCCTTTTTGCACCAACAAAACATGTTGGATTTACTTGACTCAATAGTGGACACTAGTTACACACCAACTCTTTACTTTGGCAAAAACGTAAACAACTAAGTTGAATCAACACAACCTTTTCATAATCTCTTCGAAATAAAACTCACACCATTCATTCATCATTTTCGCTCTGTACCACTGCTCCTTGTTAGACTGTGTGAAGCACAGTAAACAATTCAGTGGAGGCTTTGAGCCATAAACAGACATCACACACAGACATTGTTTTCATTCTCAAAGTGCTTCAGACCATGTCCTCTAAATCTACACAAATGCCCTCTGCGTGGCATGAAATACATTTAAGCAATAAATAATCAATCAGTTCTTGCTGTTGTAACCAACTCCGTATTTGGATGTTTGTGTGCAGCATTTGTTAGTAAAGCATTCTTCATTGCATCAGCGTGTGTGTGTGTGGATCACTTCTCAGTTCATTGAATCAACATTTTAATTTGTGTGTGTGTGTGTGTCATTTCTCCCTCAATCAACGAGTGCATATGTTCATATGTATGTTTCTTTTCACTCTGAGTCGGTGCATGTAGATGTGTGTGTTTGTGTGGGTGTTTGTGTTCATCACTTTCCTGTTGTAGTGTTCTGGGTAAACCACGGCCTGAAGCGTGCCCTGGGTCCTGCCCTCCTCCTTTTCAGTCTGTTTGCATCCATTGGTGCTGCTGCTCAGAGTTCTGTCCATACTGGTTCTGGCCCCAATTGAGGCAGTCCTTTTTATGTGATGTTTGTGTTTTGTATGTACGGTCGGCAAGGTCTGTCATCTTGTTTGTAATTGACAAATAAAGGCTATCTCATCTATCTCATCTTATCAACTGACTTGCAGGGGCAGAACATGGCTGTGTTGATGAATTGGTGCTGGGGGAGGGGGTTGGCAGACAGTACCAGGAGAGGATGCTTTAAGTGATTATGCATAGCAAATGTTGACATGTTTGATATCGCTGCCTCTGTTGACTTGACTTTTGCACACATTACATATCACTTTGGTTTCATGTGCAGCACTGAGTGTAAAATGCTTCCACACAGAATTTGATCAAGTTTTTTTTGGCTGCTGGAGGACCAAGAGGTGGCTCAGCAGCAGCCACACTCTTTTTTTATTTGGTTGCCCAAATCCATGTTAATGAGTAATGGGAAGCTATGCTAAGGTTAACTAGCCTATATCTTGCTGTCTGCAAAAGACGGAGTAACTTAAATGTACCACATAACTCCAACAAGTGCATACAATTCGACACAACTACACAAGCATTGTTTTAACCTTTTAAACCAAAGGTTAAAGTTACTCTGTCAACAGCCTGTTGTCTAAATGAGCGAGCTAACAGAGCGAACACGACAGACCCGACTGCAGACGTCAGTGGAATAATCTCCCGATCTTTGCGAAAGTTATAAACATATAAACAGCCTCAAGAACCCAGTTAAGATACAAAAGATACAAAACAAGCTATTCACCAAAAATAGTGATGCAGTTCAGTCTTTTTTTGCAGCAGAGCCTCTCTGTTGCTGTGTGGAGCAGCCCGTGTCAGTCACCTCTTTCACACGTCCCTCACTCATCCGGTTATGCACTGCGGTCTCATAAGGAAACTCAGCTTTTTGATATAAAGTTTTTCTTGTTCCTGAATACAAATATTTTTAAAAGTATTTGTGCGAAATAAGTATTTGTATAAAACACGATATTTGTGCCTTTCCGAATACCGTATTTGGGTTTGGCTCCACCCCTATGAGTGTAACAGCTGTTTGTCCACAGTGACTAAAAACAAGAGTGAAGAGTGATGGGGGATCAAATTCACTGATGTCTGTCTATCTGAACACTGATATTCTGCTTTCAGATGTTGGGATGGAGATGGTGTCTACACAAGGGCTAAAGTTTGTAATGCTTCCCTTCAAAATACCACATGACCTTCCTCAGGGTACCACAGTGGAGTGGAGACACAACAATGTGGAAGTTTACAAGTACACGGATGTAAATGTTGACTCACAGCATGTGGATGACAGAGGTCGCACAGAGATGAAGGAAGACGCACTGAGAACTGGAGACCTCAGTCTGACCCTGAAAGACCTCCACCTCACTGACAGTGGAGTCTACACCTGCACCGTCTACAACAAGGGTGGACACATGCTGCTACAGAAATCAGTGACTCTCAGAGTCAGAGGTGAGTGTAACAGCTGTTTGTCCACAGACTGAATGTGGATCTATGATAACCTGATATGACAAACAAACTGACTGAAAAGAATCTAAATGGGGACATACAACAGATTTAGAGCTTTCAAAACTGTTGGATCAAGTCAGAAAAAATGAAGCGATGAGTGCGCTTTTCGCTGAGCTCCTTCATCACTCTGACATGGTGGACCACTGTTAATAAGGAGCTCATTGCGTTCACTGACACTGGTCTCTGAACTGTTCATACATTAAACCATTAACAACACGCTCTTTGTCCACATCACTGTCTAAAGAAAAAACATTGTGTTCTTGGTCAGCTGTGTGAGACTAAAAAAAGCAGCAGAAAGTTGCACAGCTGTTTGTGCAGCCTCACACATCAACACACATCAGTTCAGCTCCAAGTCAGAGAAACGCTGAAAACAGGAGGAAGAGCTGCTGGTTACACAGCAGAGGACATAATGGAGGATCAACCTTACTGATGTTTGTCCGATCTCTTTTCAGAGAGTCAGCCAGAGGTAGTGGAGGTGAAACAGGGGTTGAGGTCTGTCCAGCTGCCCTTTGAAACCACATCTGTCCTTTCTCAGGATGTCACAGTTGAGTGGAGGCTCACTGAACCCAAGTATATGGTGGTCCACATGTATACGTGTGGAAACGATCAGCCAGACAAACACAACCAGATTTACAGAGGTCGCACAGAGATGAATAAAGAGCCACTAGAAAATGGAGACCTCAGTCTGACCCTGAAAGACCTCCGCCTGACTGACAGTGGATTCTACACCTGCACCGTCTACAACAAGGATGGACACATGCTGACACAGAAATCAGTGACTCTCAGAGTCAGAGGTGAGTGTAAGAAATCAGAGGTCTTTAGTAAATGAGTGATAAGTGTTGTCGGCTTGTCGATTGCCGTGTTGGTAGTACTTTTGATTAGCAAAGCGTAGTTGTCCCTCCGCCTTATACATTAGTTAATCATCCAACTCTTGCTTCTGCTCTTTCAATGAGTTCAAAGTCCCAGTGTCTTTAGTTACCAGATGGACTTTTTTCTAATTTCTTAATTTTGTTTTCTAGTTCTGTTTGTTCTGCTAGTCTCTCTTTTTTTCATTCTTGATGAAACTGCTATAATATTACCTCTCAAATAACTTTTGACACTCTCCCACAAGATTGAAGGAGACACCTCATTATCATTGAATTGAATATATTCAGTCAGACTCTTTTGAAGTTCTTGTCGAATTGTTTCGTTATTCAAGAAAGATACATCGGCTCTCCAATATTTAAAATGATCGTTTGGATTCATTCCAAACACACTTGGCTCTGATGTTTGTCAGCTTTAATTGCTTTACTGAATCTCACACCAGTGCCCTCCTCTCTTGCAGTTCCGGGGAAAAATCATGATCAAAATATATCTGCGTGCCCTTTATATAAGACACATTTCTGATCCCAGGCTTGTCATAGAACGGTCTCTTTCACAGAGGAGTCCCAGAATCTGACCACCAGTGAGCGCGGTGCTGCATCTGGGTTCTTGGGTTTAGCAGCGGAACAGAAAATACCTAATGCCAGCATAATCCCCACCTGGCATCCCTAGGATTGCAAACTGCACATCACTTGACAGAGTTTCTTTGCAACAGGAGTATAACTTCCGACACTGGCTTTGCGTAAAGTTTTGGAACACTGTCACCTCGACCTTCCTGAGCTTTCCATCATCACTTGGAAAAGTCCCTGTGATCAGTCCTGTGGGTCAGTCATGTCTCTTCAGTAGGGATGGGTATCGTTTAGGTTTTATCCAATACCGGTGCCAAATCGGTACTTTTGAAACGGTGCCGGTGCTTAAACGGTGCTCAAACCGGTGCTTAAAGAATGGAGAACACAAAATTGGTCCAAAAACCTCTCATGTTCAGCTGTTTTTTGTAAAAAGATAACAATGTTAGCCTTTTCTGCAGCTATGGGGCATATATGGTATCACTCTTGGCTGGAAGCAGTGCTTAAACAATGGAAAAAACACAAACTTTGTCCAAAAACCTCTCATGTTTAACTGTTTTCCACTTTTTCTTTGGTCATTTTAGCCTTTTTGGCCAGGGTGAAGGGAGTATCTGCCATCAAACAAGAAGACAGCCGCATGTAGCTATGATGATGTTTGCTAGTTCACCTTACATGCATTAATGTAATAACGTGGTTAGCCTACTCAACGTAAATTACACACGAACAACATTAAGCTACTCACGCAGAGAAGAACGGCTGCTGCTGCCATCAATACGGCGCATTTCTCGGCTTTAAAAAAAACGCTATGCGTCGCCAGGTGTTTCATCGGATTGAGGTGTTACCTCCTTTGACAGTATCACAGTATCACTTAAAGCACTTGTTGCTGCTGAGTTTGCATCTTTTGCTGTGAAGTACAGCCAGACTTTTGACCGCTTCGCCTTGGGCATTTTTAATCTGTAGCTCTGCTCTAAAAGAACGTACGTACCTGGCCCCGCCTACTATCCTCGGAAACGTAAAATGATTGGCTAGAATAGTGTATCACAGCTCAGGAAAAAAAGCACCGAAATAAAGCACCGAAATGTGCGCTGCTTTTCGGTCTGGTTACTACCGTTTATGTCAGAACCGGTGCCATCATGGCACCGGACACCGGTACCCATCCCTACTCTTCAGTGAATTGTTTGAGCTTGAGGAACATTGCGTCAAGGATCCGACGTGTGACACCGATCATCCTCTCCCAGCTTCCCCCCATGGGTGAAGAGTGGGGAGGGTTGAACAGCCATACACAGCCCTGATCAGAGAGGTAGTTGGACACTTCCTTGTTGTTACAGCCTTTGGTTACTCAGAGTTAAAAGGTGAAGCTGGTCAATTAACCTTTTATCTTTCTATCTTATTTATTTTAAGAAGAAAAGCTTATGTTGAAATTTTCATTATTATTATTTAAAGACAATTTTGAAAATGTATTTAACGTACTTAAAATAACACTATTTAAAAAAAAAAAAAAAAAAAAAAGGTAAATGGCCTGTATTTGTATAGTGCTTTACTAGTCCCTAAGGACGCCAAAGCACTTTACACATCCAGTCACCCACCCAATTAACTTTTTAACTTTTATTGCCAAAAATAACAAGGCAGTTCACAACAACAACATGACCTGAGACCAAATCTGCAGTATATAATGGTGAGGGTTATTCAAAAACTTAATTTAAAAGGAAAAACATACATACATACCAATACTTACATACCTAAGCACAGATGTAACAATGATAAGACTTGAGTGTCCTTTCAAGATATTTTATAATTAGTCTCCATTTTTTCTCAAAGGTTGGCACTTTTAGTTGTAGTTGAGCTGTTATCCGTTCCATCGTATAGACATGTCTAGTTTTCAGAAGCCACTGGGCAACTGTGGGTGTTTCTGGTTTGAGCCAGTGAATTGTTATCATTTTTCTTGCAGTCATGAGGAGGAGATGCAGGAGAAAGTGCTGCTCATAGGAGAAACCATCAGGAAAGATATCCAACAAAAAGATCAGGGGATCCATTGGGAGGTTGACTGACAATATGTTTTGTATAATGTTCTGGACATCCATCCAGTACTGTTGTATGTAAACACAGTCCCAAAAAATATGCGTCTGGTCCCCCACAGACCCAAACCCTCTCCAACATTTATCACTGACACTACTTTTGGATAGAAAGGTTTTCAGTGGCGTTCTAAAAAAAATCTTAATTTAACCTTCCTGTCATGGTCCTGGGTCGGTGACCCAGCGCTTTTAGTTATCATTTTCTAGTTTATTATGATGATTATTATTATTGTTTGAGTTCTGTGTGTAATATTTGGTCTGCCTTTGAGTCTGTGTCTCTGTCTGTCTATGGTGTCCCCCCATCTGTTTGTGAATCTGTCTGTTTAGTTCAATGTCTTGTCTGGTTCCATGTGTCTGAGTTTCCTGTTTTATTGTGAAGGTCTGTGTCGTATGTGAGTGTGCTCAGTTTACGTTTCCCCTGTCTCGTCAGCTGTGATTTCTCCCAGGTGTGTTCCCCTCCTGTCTCTCATCCCTTGATTACTGCCGTCTGTGTATTTAAGCCCTGTGTTTCTCTGTGTCGCGTCGTACCCTCAACTAGCTGTGTGTTCTGCTTCTACGTTCCTAGTGTTTACTCTCCTGTTCCAGTTTAGTATTTCTTTTCCATTGTTTCAGTCCTTGGTTCCTCTGTTCAGACTTTTGGTTTTCTTTTGGTGAGTTTAGTTTGTACGAGGTTTTTCCCAGCAATAAAGCTGCGCTTTAAGTTTCACTTCCGTGTCTGAGTTCTGCATTTTGGGTCCACCACTCCTGCTTGCCTGCCACACAGCGATTCATGACACTTCCAGTCAAATTCCTTCCACATTTGACTCCCCACCCCTCTATGGCAGCCACAACAGACACTCTGCCATGGGACATCATCCAACATTATATTGAGTTCCATTTCCCATTGTTATTTTATATGATAGGTATTATCAGACATGTCAATCAGCAGTTTCTGGTAGATCAAAGACACTTGGTTTTTCAATTGCCTGTGGTAAAACAAAACCTGTTTGATCAGGTTTCACTAGTTTTTTTTTTTTATATGTTTTTGAATTTTATTTGTAATAATGGCTGTAAGAATTTTTAAATCAACACAAAGCAGGCTGATAGGGCGATAAGACATGCATAAAGTCGGGTCTTTGCTTTCTTTATGGATGACACTAATAATAGCTTCAGACCATGACTGGTGGGGATCACCTTTCAATAACGCATAATTATAAAGTTTGCATAACAATGGTGTAAGCTCTTTTTTTCAAAAAAATTGTAATACTCTCCAGGCAGGCCATCCACTCTGGGAGACTTGTTTTTCAGTTTTTCAATAATGTTTTTTATTTCTTCAATGGTGATTGGATTTGTTATTAGTTCAGCCTCTTCCTGAGACAGTTTACTAAGATTGATCGGGTTAAGAAATTGTTCAATCTTTTCAATTTTATTTGGGACATTTTCTTCGTTATATAATTCCTGATAATAATACAGCAAAAATGCTTTTGCAACTTCCTTAGGTAGGCACACCATTTTTCCGGAGTACACACATCAGGGACAACAGGGAAAAAAAAGAACTCTACTCGAACTGGGCTCCTAACTGGGAGACCAGTTCAACTTGAGAAAGAGTGTCCTTTTACCCGGTTTGGCAAAAGTCAGCAGTCCTCAGCTGACATGTGTGTCCTTAAAGGATAGGGGCAGAGAGTCAAAACACAGTCCCATTATGAAGGAGAAGAAGTTTTTGTTCTTGTTGTGGAAATTTTAAATAACCTACAAACACCCCAAGTGAACTGTGGTCGCAAATGTTGAAGCCATCCTGATAACCTTCTCCCACCAACGATGTGGAGATCCAACCTCTTTAGATCCAATTAAAATCAAGACACTCAAAAAGATGCTCTGGAAAAGAGCAGAATTCTTGGAACAGAGTTTAATACACTGAATCATATGAACAGCAGGAAAAATACGTACAGACATTTAGCAAGAAAATTACATAGCAGAAAGCAAGCAAACCAAAACCCCGGGGTGTACAGCCTTAAGCACAGACAGCAGAGCAACACAGAGATGGACAGGAGGCAGCAGCAGGAGGAAAAGAGCTGGGGGTGTCCTCTGGCCCCCTGCTGCTGGGTAACTTGCCCACCCATCCAAACACAGCTGCAGGGGTCAGGTACAGGCCAGGGTCTTGGCCAAAGGCCAGTCAGGACTCTGACTACCCCTTGCTCTGGCTTATCAGAACAGGTCATGACACGGTCAAAGGTCACACATTAATCCTAATTATTAAATCTTATACAGCAAGTGGCACAATCTCATAATATATAATCTTATAACTACATAGGTTACATGCTTCAGTGTGTGTGTGTGTGTGTGTGTGTGTGTGTGTGTGTGTGTGTGTGATTATATCGTATGATATTTTATTGTGTTTAGGATCAATGTTACTGCTTTGGTTGTGCTGCATGAAAGATGTTGAGTGTGTATTAGGGAAGGTTGGTTACCGGAGCTGGAGAGTGAGTTATTCAGACGAACTCTCAACAGCATTAACTGCCCTGTTACTGTAAAACCTTAATAAACCTCGGTGAAGCTAAATGTCTTGTGCTTAAGACTCTACATGAAAGTTAAAATATATATGTTCAGTGCACATAGATATATAGTGTATATAGTTACATAGTTATACATATCATACAAAAGTCCACCACAAAACGTTTTGACGTGGTTTAATAACATATTGCAATATGGGGAGAAACATCACAACCAAACACCAGGGTGATCTCTGACGATGGCCACCACCCACACAGACAAAGAACTTTCCACAATGATTACATGTTGGCCCATCTTATGGGGGGGCTATACCTACAGCCCCATCCTTAAAACCTTCACCTTCACAGAGAGAGAATTAGGACCTGTTTTCTGCTTAGCAGAAAAACAACCATGGAAAACAGATTAGCTACCAAGTAGCTGTGCAGTGTACATGCTATAATTGTACTATAATCTGGGACACCTCCTCTACTAGAAGGAAAAACCATTTGGAAAACATATCAACCATCATCAAACCACATTTTCCTTTCAGTTCAATAACTTACTTGGGTCATCAAAACCTTATCTGAACATGGATGTACCACCTGTAGAGGTCTCTATCTGGTTGGTTTGCCATCATGTCCGTCTGTATCTGGAAAGCCCACAGGATCTTAGCTCGCTCATTCTCCTCCACCCTAAGGGGCGTCTCCTATTTTGACCTCGGGCCTTCCAGGCCATAGTCAGCACAGACATTTCTGTATATTAAGCCGGCCACTTGGTTATGGCGTTTTATGTATGCCCTGCTTGGTAACTGATTAGCCAAGGCTATAAATCTTTGCATGCCAGTTTCCAAGGCCTCCAGTATGGATAGCTTGCTGTACTTCTTAGCCACCCCTTTCTTCATCACACCCTTCTGCAGATCCTATAGTTGGCTAACTTCCCTCTGTGCTACCTTGATCTTGGCCTCTAGTCTCCTTCTCCATGGAGGGCACTGCTCCTTGTGGCTGTTCATCTTGTAACCAACTAGGGCTGGGCGATATTGCACAAAATTCATATCTCGATATTCTTTAGCTGGATGGTGATATAAGATATATATCTCGCTATTTTTTTTTTTTTTAAAGCCATAAAATAAGAACAAACAGAGAGTTCTTAGTCAAAGCTGTGTCCCAAGTCTCACACAGGCACTTTTATTAACATACAGCATACAAGAAAAAATTACTCAGAAATAAATTATCAGCATTTATTAAATAATAATGCTCCATAAATAAAAGAAAACTATGTTGTTTTTGTGCATAAGAGCTCACAATTGTGCAGTCAAAATGTAAACTAAAAGACGCTGAGCATAATAACAAAGATAGATTTCACAGCACACAGTTTCACACACTTTTCATTTTGCACTTCATGGCGCTGTTGTAAATGGTGTACATCAGCTGGTTGGTTTCAGTGATGGGATAAAATCAAACAAACATTACAGAGATTTTTTTTTTTTTTTTGTAAAAAAAAAAGTACATTCTCTACAGTCCTTTTTATATGCTTGCAGGTCATATTTATTATATTTGTATTGGGGTGGGACTCGATTAAAAAAACTTAATCTAATTAACTAGAGGCTTTTCTGAAAATTTGCCCCAAAATGCAAATGTTTTTTTGTTTTTTGTTTTTTTAAACAGTTTTAGCAGGCAACAGAGGCAAATCATAGACATGGATATGAATATTGTAAACTGAAGCTCTTTTAATTTCTGGGGGGGAAAAAAACAAACATTTAAACTGCATATCAATGCAAAACAGAGAAAAAAACATCCCGGCTTAGAAATAAAGTGTTAATTTAAGTACTTTAAGTACACTTCTAAAATGCTATTGTCTTCAAGTAATAATTATAAAAATTTCAACATAACATTGAGTTTTTCTTCTTAAAAAAAGAAGGCAGAAACATGAAAGGTTATTTGAGCAGCTTCACCTTTAAACTCTGAGTAACTTCAGCCAACAGTATTTTGTACGTTAGGCTAAAACACTGTGGTCATTTAACATTTGAGTGCAAAAAAATAACAAACCCATTGGACTCACAATCCCTTATTTACTGTCCCATCTCTTTCAGCCAGTTACTGACTGGAAAAGGCTGGAGTGAAATCATGTTTAATTTCTGCACTTTAGTAAAAACCTTCAGCAAACACACAAATGGAATCAATGATGCATCAAACTGCTTCCTCCATGTTGCATCAGCTCTGCTATCACATGATGAAGTCAACACCAAACAACTGAAACCAGTGAATCGGAACATTAATCGGTTCATTAGCACCCTTATCTCATTCACGGATTGAATAAGCATATTCCTAAAAACCAGATGTATTTTATTACCAGTTGGCTTTATAAATCCATCTCACAGTCTGCATTGGCAGACCTGTCCATGGTGCTGAAATCTGCAAACACAGGAAGTCCTGAGAATTTAGACAGTGAAGGAAATACAAACACGCAGGATCATGGACAAATGAAACAGATAATTTTATAAAGTTTGAATCTTCAAAGAGATAAGAAGCTCGAATGACCGAATGATGCTAACGTTGTGTGTTTGGAATCTGAATCTGAAATTAGCTGGGGCTCTGAGAAGGTGGAGGTGTTTCTGCATCTTGTTTGGATCACTAATGTTTTCTCCTCTGCAGCAACCTTGGTGGGAGCCATGGCAGACATGCTTCCACGTCCCAGGAGGAGGAGGGCACCAGAGGAACTGGGGTAAGTTCACGAGTTTTCAGGGTCACAGAGGTATCTGTGTTTACCTGTTAGATCACCATGGTAAGTTCAGCTGGTCCAGTTTAAATGTGAGTCTACTGAGCAAGACTTTACCACTGACAAGTGGAACGAGGAGCTCAGAGCTCAGTGAATGAGGACATGTAGGGTCACATGGTCACAGAACCTAACCTGCACTCAGCCTGTGCAGGTATGAATTAAAGCGATGGAATTCCAACTGACCAATCACCAATCAGACAACTAATGAACCTGTTTGGAGGATACTAATCACTCTCCAACAGCTGGGAAATGTCATGCATCAAACCCATGAACCCAAGTGAGTGACTGTCCGCTGTCTCCTCAGGAACAGGAACCAAGAACAGCAACCTCTGATTGCTGAATCAAGAGTCTGAGGAGGAGGAGCTGGTGATGAAGAGCAGTCTCTGTGTCAGCATGTTGTGTATATGCTAGCTATTTCTTGTGTATTCACCCCTGGCGAAGATGAAGATGCAGCTTTGCTTTGGCCTTTTTTGCTAACAGTTAACAGCTAACTTCTGCCAGATGTTCTGCAGCTGTTTCTCTAACATTATTAGCTCAAAATGACGATGATCGAGGGTGTGCTTTTCCTCACTGCCTCTGTGTTGTTTCCTTTTGTTATAATTAGGGCTGCACAGATTCATCGAGCCATTTGATTAATTTCATTATAAAAATCCTCGACACAGATTCTTTGGTTCAATACTTCATTTAAAGCACAGATCTGTAGCACTCCATTGTCACCATGGAAACGCAAAATGCGTCACCCAAATTTGTGACTTAAAAAAGACCTGCAAGATAAGCCTTATTTATAAAAAGTGTGACCATATTAAGATCACACAGCCTCCAGTTTTAAATACACACACTGATAACACAACAGCAGCAGTGTTGGTGACACTGGCACAGTTAACGTGGAGGCGTAGTCTGTTTATACACTGCAAAGACCAAAGAGGCAGCACTCTTTTCTAGAAGGGTGGAGCAGCTGCCCCTCCGTTGGCTCTCCTTGGGCTCACGTGCTCTGGGGGCCTCTAGATGTCTGGGGTATGGATCTCCTTGCCTGCTTCATGTTCTGGGGGGATGGGGCTATGGCTCCCCACAAATACTATTAGACACTTACATGGAGAAACCTTTTGAATACAAGCGCACTCAAGCGCAGTCAAACACACAGGTGTGCAAAGAGGTACTCAAAGAAACACACTATCTTGGTTGGCTGCTGCCTCTAAACATACTTCTATATGCTAACATATAATATTTATTATTTCCTGCTACTAATGCTTATGTTGGTTGTGTGGTTTCCTGTTGTGTTGTTTTCATTTTCCTTCAGCTTTTTTTCAGCAGGTGGTCAAACAGGTTTTCAGGGTCTTCTCTCTGGCTCTCTTCCACAGCATGTCTGTTTCTGCTTCTAAAGGAGTTTTTCCTTCTCATTGTTGCCAAAGTGCTTGCTCGGGGGGGGGGGGGGGGGGGGTCATATAATTGCTGTTTTTTTCTGTTTTCTTTGTAATACTGTACAGTCTTTGTCTTGAGGCAGCTGGGGGGTTTGTAATTTGGTGCTATATAAATAATAAATAAAATGGAATTGAATTAAACTGTATGTGTGGCTGAAAGAATTAGTCATAGAGAGGAAGGAAATGATATTTCAGAGGATTTAGTGGTTGATTTCCCTGCAAGTTGTCTAGATGTACCACTGTGTTTAATCAGTATATGACACACAGATTTTCTAGACCTCAGTGCAGCGTTCTATACTGTTGACCATAATTTTCTATTAGAGCGATTAGAGCATGCTGTAGGTATTACAGGTACTGCGCTGCAGTATCTATCTAACAGACTCGCAAAGGTTAATTAGAGTTCCACAGGGTTCAGTAATATGGAACGCCAGGACTGCCATAATGAATTAATTAAATACACCATTAAATAATTAATTAAATATGGCAATAATTAATTAAATAAATATTTACGACACATTTAATTAATTATTTAATGATTTATTTATTTAATTCATTTTGGCAGCTTTTTTTTTATGGATAAATCTTGACATTAGTTAAAGATTTGGAAAGCTTCCCCACATTTTTTGAGTAAACAGTGAACCTGATACTATTACTGCACTCTGACTATTTACAGTAAGTCAGTAAACTATTTTTACTATGGATGCAGAGAGCCATAACGAGTGCAGGGTAAGATTTTTATTTTTTTGGCCTTTATAGCTTTATTTGAAAGGGTACTGTAATAGAATCACAGCAGACTCGACAATGTTTCCATTCTTTTCAGCATACTCTTTATTACCACACAGGTGCTGTACAAACACTGTTGGGTTGGCTGCAGCTAAGGCGCACATATCACTACAACCAACAACAACCCAGGCACAGTCCAGACTTTTTATGCGGACAAGGTGTGATTGCAGATGCCGTGCAGGTGCCTCCATCATCTCCCCTGCAGCAGCACCGCCTATCACACCCCGCCACAGATACACTAATGAGTTATTGGAAAGCAGAGGAAGAGGAGGCCGGGGGGGCATGTGGCAAAGGGCCGCAGGTCAGATTCGAATCCAGGCCGACCGTTCTTAGCCATGCGCCATGTAGTCTGCTCATCCAACTCAGCTACAGGGGCACCCCGAGTGCAGGATAAGATTTAATCAAATTACACATTTTTATGTTAAAGCTTACATGGTTTGTATTTTAAAGCACTTTTTTTGACTTTTACAAATTTTGTAAAGAATTTTTTTATTCCGTGTAATCCTCTATTACATTTAGGTTGTTGCGGCTCATCGGTACAGTACAAATCTTTAATGAACAATTATTAAAACATGACATGATGGCCGAATGTTATTGAATTGGCTCTTTTCTCATCCTGATCCTTAAGATAAACATCACTGTCCACACTGACTCAAATTAAGATTTTTTGCTCAACTGGATTCATATGTAGGGTCATCTCTTTTTTTCTGTTACCATGGTGAATTGTGATGTCAGCGCTCAAATTATAATGGTCTTCTTTTTCTACTGACATGCATGTGTAACTCAGGTGAACATACTCCAACCTAATTGACAAAAATTTGATCAGCCTTTCTGAAGCTGCAAACTCAGTGTCAGTCTCAGAGTTGAGCATGAAGGGATGAGTACAAATGTACTCATCGTGTTTTGTGGGAGGCTTTAACAACTGGCAGCAGCCTCAGAAGAGACTTCTCTGAAGCAGAGTATTTCTTCAGGTCAAGCACATCCAGATCTTTTTCTGATGACAGAGTTGACCACTGAGCAGGAGGTCCAGGTGTCCATCTGGACTCTGTAAGGCCTTGTCCACAGCACTCTGGTGGAAGTTTTTCTCTGTAGATTCTTTTGTTTCAGACTTCTGGGAGGTTTTTTGTTCTTCTAGTAGATTGAGTCCAGAGTTGATGAAGGTCAGATGGACATGAAGAGCAGCCAGAAACTCCTGAACACTCAGATGGATGAAGCAGAACACCTTGTCCTGGTACAGTCCTCTCTCCTCTTTAAAGATCTGTGTGAACACTCCTGAGTACACTGAGGCTGCTCTGATATCGATGCCACACTCTGTCAGGTCTGATTCATAGAAGATCAGGTTTCCTTTCTGCAGCTGATCAAAAGCCAGTTTTCCCAGAGACTCCATCATCTTCCTGCTCTCTGGACTCCAGTGTGGATCTGTCTCAGCTCCTCCATCATACTTGACCTTCTTCACTTTGGCCTGAACCACCAGGAAGTGGATGTACATCTCAGTCAGGGTCTTGGGCAGCTGTCCTCCCTCTCTGGTTTCCAGCACATCCTCCAGAACTGTAGCAGTGATCCAGCAGAAGACTGGGATGTGGCACATGATGTGGAGGCTTCGTGATGTCTTGATGTGGGAGATGATCCTGCTGGCCTGCTCCTCATCTCTGAATCTCTTCCTGAAGTACTCCTCCTTCTGTGGGTCAGTGAACCCTCTGACCTCTGTCACCATGCCAAGACATCAGGAGGGATCTGATTGGTTCTCTCTCCAGATGAGGCTTTAAAGACATCTTCTTGTCTGATTGTTGTTTCTGGTCTGTCTGTTTTCCTGGATGCTGTTTCAATCTGTCTGACCTCATGTTCATCATTGACTTCTGCGGTCCCTCCGCTCTGAATGTAGCGTGACCTGCTAGCGCAACTTCAGTGTCTGGGGTAAAAGACTCCACCCAAGTCTCTGTTATGATCATTGCACAGTAATCCAAACAGCGTGAGGTGATCCACAGTTGTAGCCCATCCATCTTGTTGTTTAGTGACTGTGAGTTGGTAAGAAAGAGCACTTAGTTTAGTCCCCAGCCCAACTGTCTTTGCCCTGTTTCTGTTTCCTGTGCCTCTGTCGCCTACACCACTTCAGTGATTGTATGGTGAGGTATGAGTCCATGTTCCTTTGGATCTCAGAGGGGATTGAGTCTCAGTCATTGTTGAAAGTTCAGGCCCCTCTTCTGTGGAACCAGCTTCCAGTTTGGATTCAGGAGACAGACACTATCTCTACTTTTAAGATTAGCTTCAAACTTTCCTTTTTGCTAAAGCATATAGTTAGGGCTGGACCAGGTGACCCTGAATCCTCCCTTAGTTATGCTGCAATAGGTGTAGGCTGCTGGGGGATTCCCATGATGCACTGGATGTTTCTTCTTCACTCACTATGTGTTAATAGACCTCTCTGCATTGAATCATATCTGTTATTAATCTCTGGCTCTCTTCCACAGCATGTCTTTATCCTGTCTTCTTTCTCTCACCCCAACCTCGCAGCAGATGGCCCCGCCCTGGTTAGGTTTTGCTCGATATTTTGAGGTACTTACATACAGTGGGGCAAAAAAGTATTTAGTCAGCCACCGATTGTGCAAGTTCCCCCACCTAAAATGATGACAGAGGTCAGTAATTTGCACCAGAGGTACACTTCAACTGTGAGAGACAGAATGTGAAAAAAAAATCCATGAATCCACATGGTAGGATTTGTAAAGAATTTATTCGTAAATCAGGGTGGAAAATAAGTATTTGGTCAATAACAAAAATACAACTCAATACTTTGTAACATAACCTTTGTTGGCAATAACAGAGGTCAAACGTTTATTATAGGTCTTTACCAGGTTTGCACACACAGTAGCTGGTATTTTGGCCCATTCCTCCATGCAGATCTTCTCGAGAGCAGTGATGTTTTGGGGCTGTCGCCGAGCAACACGGACTTTCAACTCCCGCCACAGATTTTCTATGGGGTTGAGGTCTGGAGACTGGCTAGGCCACTCCAGGACTTTCAAATGCTTCTTACGGAGCCACTCCTTTGTTGCCCGGGCGGTGTGTTTTGGATCATTGTCATGTTGGAAGACCCAGCCTCGTTTCATCTTCAAAGTTCTCACTGATGGAAGGAGGTTTTGGCTCAAAATCTCACGATACATGGCCCCATTCATTCTGTCCTTAACACGGATCAGTCGTCCTGTCCCCTTGGCAGAAAAACAGCCCCATAGCATGATGTTTCCACCCCCATGCTTCACAGTAGGTATGGTGTTCTTGGGATGCAACTCAGTATTCTTCTTCCTCCAAACACGACGAGTTGAGTTTATACCAAAAAGTTCTACTTTGGTTTCATCTGACCACATGACATTCTCCCAATCCTCTGCTGTATCATCCATGTGCTCTCTGGCAAACTTCAGACGGGCCTGGACATGCACTGGCTTCAGCAGCGGAACACGTCTGGCACTGCGGGATTTGATTCCCTGCCGTTGTAGTGTGTTACTGATGGTGACCTTTGTTACTTTGGTCCCAGCTCTCTGCAGGTCATTCACCAGGTCCCCCCGTGTGGTTCTGGGATCTTTGCTCACCGTTCTCATGATCATTTGACCCCACGGGATGAGATCTTGCGTGGAGCCCCAGATCGAGGGAGATTATCAGTGGTCTTGTATGTCTTCCATTTTCTGATGATTGCTCCCACAGTTGATTTTTTCACACCAAGCTGCTTGCCTATTGTAGATTCACTCTTCCCAGTCTGGTGCAGGTCTACAATACTTTTCCTGGTGTCCTTCGAAAGCTCTTTGGTCTTGGCCATGGCGGAGTTTGGAGTCTGACTGTTTGAGGCTGTGGACAGGTGTCTTTTATACAGATGATGAGTTCAAACAGGTGCCATTCATACAGGTAACGAGTGGGGGACAGAAAAGCTTCTTACAGAAGACGTTACAGGTCTGTGAGAGCCAGAGATTTTCCTTGTTTGAGGTGACCAAATACTTATTTTCCACCCTAATTTACGAATAAATTCTTTACAAATCCTACCATGTGAATTCATGGATTTTTTTTTCACATTCTGTCTCTCACAGTTGAAGTGTACCTCTGGTGCAAATTACTGACCTCTGTCATCATTTTAAGTGGGGGAACTTGCACAATCGGTGGCTGACTAAATACTTTTTTGCCCCACTGTAAAATGTCTTCAGACGACTGTTGTTGTGATTTGGAACTGTATAAATAAAATTGA